ATGCAGGAATGTGTAGTGTGGGTGGGGCGTTGGGGTGGCTGGCCAGGGCTCATACACATTAGGACCAGTTCAGGGAGAGGTCAGAGGAAAGGCTGTTGGCCGGGCACAGTGGAAGACCCACGAGATACAGCCAAATGTCACTGAACTTCCCCTCGCCCTAGCCCTCAGGGGAAACAAAGAGGAGAAACGTGCACACATTCCCCAACGACGAGGACTCGAGCACGGATATGGCGAGGTCACGCAGAGGGAGCGGAGGTTACGGAGGGCTGAGGGGGGGGGGGGGGGAGGAGAACGGAGGATGCAGATGTGCGGTGCGTTGGAGAAGGGAGGCACGATGGGAAATACAACAAGCTATTGTTTGGAGAGAGAGGACAGGAGTGGAGCCACGAGAGAGGCAGCTGAGGACGATTCACCAGAGTTTATTATATAAACACACACATACACAAATATATACACACACACAATTACACATACAAGCATAACAGTCCACGCACCATCCCCTGATCGTGATGGGTAAAGGTCACCATGCTTTTGAGGAAATGTTCTTCATGGAGAGCTCTTCATGAGTTGACATGGCAACATCAGTTACAACAGGTTATTTGCCTCATGTCGTTTTGGTTCTGCACCAGAAAAATTAAAACCCAAGAGATTAATGCGTATCATTCAATGTGGCCAGTCGCAAAGTTATGTTGTCATTTATGTTTTTTTTCCACTTTACATTTGACAGTGCACCTGAAAATCATCACACTTGATTTGACAATTTGGGATGTTTGCTAAAAATACTAACACTTCACACCTACTCTGTTGTTATGCCTCTGGTTTCTACCTTTTCTCATACACAGTGAACTCGTTTTTTGCTTGATATATTGTGCACATATTTCAATACCTGTTGAGGATGAGGATGTTTCATTAGTATGTATACATGTTGTAATCATTTAGATTTAATTGTCTTTGTTGTTTTGGGGGCTTTTGAGACAAAGTAATCAAAAATGAATTGAACAGAGGATGATTGTTTTCCTAATGAGATTAAATCATTGAATAACAATGTTATAATGAAAACATTAATTTCAACCGTGAGACAAAACAAGTGAGAAAGAACCTCTCAAGCATTTACATAGAAAAACGCTTTGATGAAGAGATGCATGAAAGTATAAGGAGAAAATTGCTCCTCAACCCAGATTCTCATCAGCCATGCTTGGTAATAATGATCACCAAAATGTTCTCTGTAAGGGTGAAAACAAATCCCTCCATGTCTTTTATACAACTGCGATTCCTTGTTTGCACAAATGGACCAAGTGAATCTCCTGTAAAAGCTCACAATTTGATCTTTACACAATAAAGACTGATCTGGCAGGAATGCAGTGTCACGTAGGCATGACTGCCACACACAATCACTGCTGTTTAATGTGATACACATCTTTAAAATGCAATCGTCAGTTGCAAAATCTTGTGAGACAAAAAGAGAAGCCATCACACCACACACTAATACTGTGTGTGGTTGAGGAGCGATTTAACTGTAGCTGTGGGCAGGGTTTAGTATCCGACAGAGTACTTGTTAATTACTGTTTCACAATCAAAATACAAAGCATGCTCTGTGTTCTGATGTTTTACTGAGAAGTCAAAATATTTCAGGAAAAAAGATATCTATTCTTTGATCGAAATGTTAATTACTGAAACAAGGAATTTGAATTGAAGCCACAGTGGTGGTGTTCCACATTTTTATGTGACGCATTCGAGTCAAAAAAAAAAAAAAAGGGTTACTTTGAAAGTTGCTAGTAATCTCAAACTAAGTGTAAGTAATCAGAGTATATTGCCATGGATAGATCATATATTTATGATCTAGTCCATGAGAAATCCATGAAAAATAACACATTTCACTCAAAATGTGTGTAATACTGGAAGATTTCACCTCCTAAGGCCACTAGAAGATATTCATGCTAGATAATCATAAAACTCTCTTTGATCAGCTCTATGAACTGATGATCAACGATGGATATTAGGTGAACCACACCCTTAAATTACAAAACTGCAGTGTTGAAATGACTTGGTTATTTTAGAAGTTGATCAGATTGAGAATGATTGTTCATAAAAAGAAATGCCTCTTTAAACTTGACTTCAAACCAATGAGACGATGTAAAACAGATCTTAAAATTGGAGAAAACAGAGCGATGTTCGTTATTTCTTCTTTACGAGATTATAAGAATTGTTGTAAATTAGCTTTCTAATGACTTATGGTGCGTTCACACCGGACGCGATGCGATTTTTTCGGGGCGGCGCTATTACATGTAAAGTCAATGCAGAGATGCGGACAGACGCGAATTCGCTCCGACGGCGCACATTAAGCGGTTGATGTGATTGCCGCGGCGTGATTGAGACAACTGCTCGAGTTCAATTTTTTCAACTCGAGTGTCAAATTCGCGTGACACAATCTCGCGGTAGCCAATCAGCGGTGAGGATCTCAGCCTGCCGTCACTGACGTTGAACCAGAAAACCAAAACATCAGCCGTTAGCTGTTAGCACTCAGAGCTCACAGCTTCTCATATCTGTTCAGAAACTAGACAAAAGTTAAAGAAGTACAAACCACAGACTGTCTGTGTCATGGCGAATACAGTCGCTGGTTTATTTATGTCTGGAGGCCGTTGTTGTGAGTGTGGATGGAGCATATACAACGTTAGCTTAGCCTGATCGATCCGATCTCCATTCAGAAAACACGCATTTTAAGGTTTTTCGCCTGCCGTCTTGTCTGCAGACTTGTCAAAGCATTAATTCATGGTTTTTACTAAACGGTATCAGTATGTTGTTACTTCGGCATCATTTTGAAACGTGTATTACAATTAAATCACGATAAAATATGTTCATTTTGTTGTAGTTGTAGCCCCCTGGCCAGCGTGTCTTGTTTGAATGATGTGAGTAAACACAGCTGACAGCCGCGGTGAAACTCGAGCGTTTAGAGCGATGCGATAAGAGCGATTAGAGCGAAGCGAATATTCGCATCGCGTCCGGTGTGAACGCACCATTAGTCTAGAATATTGCTAAAATAACCAGTTTCATAGGGAAGAGACACAATCACAAATTCATGTTCTCTTTCTCTCTAGTCCTGTCACAGCAGATACCTGTATGTTCTTTAATAAAAGAATATCAGGAAGAATTTTTGACAGCTTCAGGGGTGGGATCCCACTCACCTCCAGCACCAAGTGAGCCATGCAGCCCCACAACATCTGTCACACTGGTAACACCTTTTCCATAAAATGTAATAATATCATGTTCACCGCATTTAACAAGTAAGCTTTAGAGGTCTCAATGGAGCGGCATTGTGGATTCATACAGTATGATAATGATTTGCACATGCAAAGAATGGCAGAGTGCAGTGAAGCAGACTGTTAAGCAAATATTTTTGTCATAGCCTCCGTCATGAGTTTTTTCAATCCTGATGTCCTGGACAGCTGGTGAGCCAATACTGGCAGCCTGCCCCGAAAAACCAGAGACGCCGCCTGGATCAAACCTGCGGGGAGAAGTGTCTTACACCACACTTCCTCAGCATTCCTCTTATAGCAAACATACTTTCTGGCAAGATGTGTGTTCACATGGATGAGTGACATCAGCCGGATGAACGTGAACACTTGGGATTCCTCTGCAAACCACCAATCCCACAACTATGAGTCTGGGGGAAACTGCAACGTTTAATGATAATCATACACATGTTTTATTTTTCAGTTCTGTGTGTGAATACCAAGGGATACATCATCCACCTGGCAGTTCCCCAAAGCTTTTTTTCATTTTTTTTGTCTCACAGAGAATAAACGGGCTCAGGTATCACTATGTGCTTACTTCTCTTCTGAGCCATCTACGCCCACATAATCTCCCAAATGCAGAGGGATCCCATTCTGACTCCCTTTGCACAGTCAGAGTGAGAACGAGAGGAAAAGTAAAATCTGTAATACCGGCAGACAGCGGCAGAGAAAAGGGGAGAGAACATTTTATGGCTAATGCACTCCCCATTCTCACCAGCTGGCCTGATTGTGTAAACACAGCCAAATCAAATGCTCTCAGGCTTGATGCATCCCACCCCAAAACAGATGCTTTTACTCCCTCAATCCTCATCTTTCTCCACCCACTCACTCACTCTGAACTTCGACCTTGCAGCCCAGGTGGCAGGTGCTCCAGTATCAATGAAGTCCTAAAGAGTGGGAAACACTGAGCCATTTCGCACACTAACGAACAGTGGGACCTTCTCCAACAGCAATCATTCATTTAGAAAGGAAATGCATAAACTGAAGGTGCAGAGAAGGAAGAAGTCTGGTACTGTATGCTCTTAGGGGCGTTTCCTCAGGGACACTTCTAGGCTGATACGTCCTGAGGTGATTACATTATTTTAATGAATTGATTGCATGGGGTTTTCAGTTGCAACATACATGTAAAATACTACAGCCAACAGGGTAAACAACGTTTGCTTTAATTTTGAGCATGAATCCTTAATCACGATTCAATAATTTAAAGACCCTTTGAGTGATCGTGCATCCATTCCCAACCTAAGATGTATATAACTTAAAGGTCACCTATTATGGCTTGTATACATAAACATGTGTTTTCATGTCCCCCCTCTTTATGATGTCATACCGATTTTTTGGCTTGTATAACCATTAGCCAATAGCCAACCAAGGTAACACCACCTTATCACCTGAATCTCCTCCTAGAGCACCATTGTGTTCTTTTTAACCAAATATCTCCCAGAGGGGCGTGGGGAGTGGCTCCTTATTTTCATCTAAAGTAACAGACAGAGAATCAGCACTTTTGAAACAGGGCTGAAACAGAGGGGATTATGGGATGCTACAATGATCTGTTGGGTATTTCAAGCCAAACACTTCAGAGACATGTTTTTAATATATCTGAGACCTATAATAAAGTAATGAAAAACAGGATAATAGGGGACCTTTAAAGGAGTTTATGTGTGCCCTATGCGTTTGTATGCTGTGCATCCCTCTCTGTATTTGTGTTCTTACCTGCAGCAGCATGAACGAGGACGCTCTGGTTGGGCCGCAGGTTGCCAAAGTCAAACAGCATCATATAGGCGGTGATGTAGTTCACAGGCAGGGCTGCTGCCTCCTCGAAGCTCATGCCCTCTGGGATGAGGAAGGTGTGGGTTGCTGGCACCACCGCCACCTCCTGCCACAGCCCGAAGCGGTTCAGAGCCATCACCTTATCACCAACCTGGAACACAAGGCACAGGAAGACAGAGGATAAGAAGAAGTTCTTTCTGTACCTATTTCCAATCACTGAAAAAAATGGGACCTAATCCCAATTCTACCCTGATCAAAAAGATAGTGTAGTAGTCCAATAAAACTAAAAATAGGTCCCCATATTGAGTCAATTATACCACCTGAACACTGCAGGTAAATAAGACTACGTTTATCCGGCAGGGCCTCATGGTTTCTTTGGCACAGTGGGAATGATATGAGCCGTGCAGCATGAGCAGTTAAGAGTGTGGTTTACAACAATGGCAGACATGCAAACATGCAGCCATCTCGTCCAACCAAACCTCAAAATGTAGGCAAACAAGGGAAGCAATAAACCAAAGCAGAGCAGTAGTAACTGTATTGACGTTATTGATGGAAAATTGGTAGCAGCAGAGGAATCAGGCACCATTTTCCTTTTGTTTATCATGTTAGATCTTCCTGGATTGGTCCCAAAGGATTCTAACTGTTTTTGTACATAATAATATTTAACTATAGTTTCTATAAAAGGTCTATGGGGCAGGAGTCACAGATGGATTCAACGTGCTGCATGCCACAATCGCCATCTTGTGATTTTCTACTTCTATCTATCGTCATCAAAGCAGAATCCTCAAATTCAAAACTGTCTCTTTCCAAAGCGACATGCCTGGATGTAAACTTAACCCCGCCCCTCAGCACCCTAACTAACCAATCAGGAGCGCCCAGTCGAGGGACACAGGAAACACAGATGACTGCAGCATTATAACTCTCTTCCTGTTTTCTTCCTCACCCTTATTCACCCTTCCTTGACACAGCTCTCCCCCCCCCCCCCGCCCAGTTTCCAGTCTCCTCACTTTTTCTCTTCCCTTCTTTCTCTTTCACTTCCTGACTCCCTTTCCCCTTACAACTTTAGAACGTCTTCCTTCCCCTTCTTCAGTCGCTTGTCTCGTCCTGTCTGTGTCTGGGGTCTCTGTTTCCTCACTCTGTCTTTATCCTCCACTGTCTCATTTTGTTCTCTAATACTACTTTTATTTTATTTTGCGAGGAGCGTCCCTGTATTGCCGCTTCCTCATCAGCGGGACAGGACAATGGGGCCCATCTTCTCCCCTGGCATCCCTCCCCTCATCAGAGTCCCTGCCAGATTCTTCCCCATGGCTGAGCATAAGACAAGCTCTCTCCTCCTGGGAACAAACCCTCTCCACCCGGGCCTCTCTAATGGTCTGGAGGGAGCCATGCGCCTTGCTGTCTATCCACTCCAATTAGAGAGATCTCCCTCTTTCTCTCCCGTTTCATACGCACATCTTTCTCTCTGAAGTCAATTGGTGTATTTTCAAACTCTACTTTCACTCTTTCACTGTGTGCTACTTCTCATTCCTCCCTTGTTGTTCATACTGACTGAATACTAATCTCAGTTTTCCCTTTCTTAAAACTCATTTGCCATACAAGAAACACACACAAATATGACTCACACATCAAATTCAAATGCATCTGTAGCTATTGTTCCGCGCCCACGTAGAGCATGTGAGTTAGTGTCAATCACACAGAATCTAGATAGGAACATTCAAGGCCAAGCGAGCGAGCCTTGTGACAGTTCTGTTACACATCTTCACAATGTGACATACACACACACATTTCCTTTCTCAGCCTACTGCATCAAATGTAGTCACAGTTGGGGTCAGGAGTGCGGGGGCACTGAACAAAGACACTTCCAGTTAACTGTACATGAATGGAATTAATCAGATGGTGATTCAATTTCGGGGTATGCGGGCCCCTATAGTCAGCTGTTTGGTGGCTTGTATCTTTGATGAGCTCAGCAAAAAATTATCAGAAAAAGAACGGATGAACCAGATTTATGATAGTGTCCCTGAGTCAGGTTGAGGCAAGATATAAAGGTTACATGTAAACCTGCACGACCTGCATGGCTCCTGGAAATGTGATTAAAAGGAAACACAATATGTCCCTGCTGGTGAATAAAGCAGAGAATAGGCATTATTGTGCCCTGATACAGTTTGAATGATGTTCGGATGAAGGCCACGCCCTGCTCACATACAGCAAAATGCTGCTTCTGCACTTGACTGCACCTCTGATTATGCAAATAAGCATGTCATGTTAACTAAATAAATGTTTCTTTATTTCGTTTTTGCAGCAGCTTTTGCAGCTTCTTCAGATTTTATCAAGAAATGTTATCTCCTATGGTTGAGGGTAATAGACAAAAACACAATAGACACAACTCAAGCATCTAGATTTTAGTTTTTTGTTATCAGGGTGAAAAGGACATACAGGATGAAAGCGGAAAGCATGTATGTCCGGAAAGGAGAGAAGGAGTGCAGCATGATAGAAGGATTTACTTACAGTATGATCGAGAGAGGAAGAATCAAGAGATTATGCGAAATGAGGAGAGATAGTTAGAGCGAGGGATGGAGGAAATACCAGACTGACAATGTGGGCCAGAGGGAGGTAATTGAGAACATATGGGTCAGATCTGACCAAAACTCACGAGGGAGACCATGAATAAGACAAAAAAAATTGGGCCATGAGAAAAAAGTGCTGATGTTTGATGTCAAGGGAGCTTCGGTGTACTTTCTAATATTTCCCCTCTTCCACCTCAATGACTAACTGCTACAGTTCTCCCTGCACTCACTCTTAGGTCATTTCGGGTGATACCACTGTAGGATTGATTAATTCAACTTGATTGTCCCCCTAGAAGGATGCTTATCTTGCAGAAGAAGAATATATATTGGGAGGCATGCAGGGGATAATAAATACATATAAAAACACAAGCAAGCAGCAAGAGGCAAAATAAATGGACACTACAGAAAACAATAGTACTGGTGCCTTCATCAACGACAATGGATAATGAGAACATGAGAAAGAGAATTTAATCAAATGATATCCATGAATTTGTGTTTTCTGAGTCTTAACCGATTTGATATAAATATTTTTTTTTAAATTTCATTTAACAAATGAAAAATAAGAAAATCACACCATGTTAGAAATAAGAAATCAGAATTGAGACAAAGTGTTTATGTTGCATTATGTAATCAAATGGCGTGAAAGTGTGCATTGTTTTGTGTGCACTGTATGTTGAGCAAACTATCTGACACACCCATTATTGTATGTCTTTGTGTGTGTGTGTGTGTGTGTGTGTGTGTGTGTGTGTGTGTGTGTGTGTGTGTGTGTGTGTGTGTGTGTGTGTGTGTGTGTGTGTGTGTGTGTGTGTGTGTGTGTGTGTGTGTGTGGTGTGTGTGTGTGTGATAGAGAAAGAGAGAGTGAAACAGAGGTTGATAGGCAGACAGATAGAGCTTCATTGAGTGAAAAGCCTCCCAAAAGAAATGCTATGCCATCAGGGTCAGCACATTCCCTCTGAGTTGGCTGCCAAAATATCTCAGAGATCTCCATCCATTAGGAAGATTGGCTCTTAATTCTATAAGCTAACGGCTGCCAGGCGATGTGGGAGAGTGAGGCCTTGATGACAAGCCGTGTGTTTGTGCATGTGTGTAATGTGTGACCTTTAAAGCCAATCTACATTACTGGCAATGTGGAAAGAAGCTATTAGGTATTTTGGAAACACAAGGGTCTTAACCTTCTATGATGTCTGGCTGATATTGGCTGACCTGTCACCAATCACATTCCTATTACTCTGCATAGTCTCCCCATCCATAAGGACTTGGCATATGTGCCACTCCCAGCCAGATGCACTGATTCTGCATATGTAAAACACATCTGATCTGCCTGCTGTTCTCCACAGATATTAACTGGCTCTTACAGCAAATGGTGTGAGTCATCACGTGTAACATTTAAGCTTTGTACTTAAATTGCCTTACAAAGGCGTTACCGTGGTGATGCCATGCAGCCAGGAGACAGACATATAGGCCTGTGACTCATCATGCAATGTAAGATAGCGTCTAATAATTATCTTTCAATCACCACTTAATTCCTTGTGGCTGAACAATAAAGAAAATCAGTTTTTTATTAGGATTGTTAAATTGACTTGGCTTCATTGTCTATTTGAACTTTAATTGTGATATATTTATGACTGTTGGATAAATATTTCCTGAACACAACAGAGGCGATAGGCTCAGCTGTTGACAAAGAGGGCGAGTGATCATATATTTCACACATCATCATGCTGTGTGTTGTGTCGCGCCTCGCCCTTTCCACTCTGTGAGTGTGTGCGCCACCGTCGCTCCCGGTAACAAAAGGCGTCGGTGACTCCAGTCTCCAGCACCGGTGTCAAGTCAGCCATATTAATAACGGTGGCAAAAATAAAACCCCTTAGTTTTTGCAAGCAAACAGTGAACAGCAAATTGGAACAATGCGGGCTGTCATTGTCTGTATAAATACCGTTTTGATGGTTGCATTAAGGAACTGCACACCTGGAGCCTACATGTGCACTGAGTATGACCAATGATCGACATTATAACATACTCAGAATTCATTCTAGATTTACATATCTTTAACATAATTTCATTTAGATTTGTCAACGACTAAAAAGCCCCCATGTAAGTGTTCAAAGCTTTAATTTTGAAGGGACAGCATTCTAATTTCCGTTCTTATTGTGGCTATATGATGCTGACTTGACGCAGATCTCCTCGCCTTGGCAAAGATCAAAGCGCAGAACAGAGTGCTGCAACAAGGATGGAACGCATCCCTCGGATTGACATGTGCTTATTTAGACTGTAGACTTAGAAAACAAATGGTGCTTTTAAAATGAAATCCCTGTCTCAGCAACTAATGGGTACTCGAAGTTGCTAAAGCTAACTGCGCACACACTTCAGCGCAATTTGAAAACCGGGGAGACAAGAGGGGCGACGCCTTCTGCTGACTTCATTGTACTCAACTCGTGTCATTTCAACTCTTTGTGCTTATGTCTCAGAGATAAAATACATTATCACCCTAACAGACTTTATGCTTTACACTTTTGGATGCCAAGTAGGATACCGTGTCATTACGCACGAGTGATGATTACCACGACATGTCAAACAAAAACTACACATCAATATTTCGATATGGCTCTCGTGTTAATGATTTGACTGAATATAGTATTTGCATTTCATTCATTGAGCCATGACACTGCATAGTAGTGCCTCCACTATCTCAGCAGCGATCAAAGCCTGCACGCCCATATCCAGATGTAGCGGTTCATCCCCAAAATTGAACCAAGGCAAACATTCATCACTCAAACAATAAAACACACCGTAAAATGATACTTAAAGTGGCATGTGATAAAAGCTGAGAGACATGTGTGCTTACTTTTCTGTCCGTGACTTCTTCCCCTACAGCTTCCACCACCCCGGAGCACTCCATTCCCGGGGTGACCGGCGGGGATGGCAGCCGGTCGTAAAGCCCCTGCCGGGCCATCAGGTCTGCGAAGTTCAGCCCGCAAGCCTTGACCCGAACCAGGACCTCGCCAGCTTTGAGCACCGGCTTTCCCTTCTTCACCTGGAGCTTCACTTTATCATAGCCCCCATAACCGGTGAGCACCAGCGCGCGGTAGGTGAACGTGTCCTCTTCGGGGACCTTCTCGGTGGTCGCCGCGGGGGACGCCTCAGCAGCTGCGGGTGCAGGCTCCGTCTTGGGCTCCTCGGCTTTGGGCTCCTCGGCGGGTTTGGTCTCCTGCTTCTGATCCACGGCGTTTTGCTGCTCGGCAGGTGCGTCCTCTCCAGACATTGTGCAGGGAGCTGTGAGACAGTGATGAGTGTAGAAAAATATTTAAATGCTTTTTTTCTTCACTACTTGTGCTTTTGTAGCCGTGGATGGGTTTGTTTTTTAGGCTTTTGCTTGCCTTGCGATTAAAAGAAAATGTGAAAGTCTAAGCTCCTTTTCAGCAGTCTTGCATGGAGACACAAACCCCGACAAAGTGTGCTGATCAGTGGCCAGTGGCTTTCAACGCTGCGCTCTGACAGAGTGTGAGTGGGACGAGACAGAGGCAGGCTGGAAAACACGGAGAGCTGGTAAATCCAGGGATTGGCTCCTGTGATTTGTGGGTTTGGCTGTCTGTGACACGGAAAGCCTATATGGCATAAAGCAAAGAGGTGATTTGCAGAAATGCTCATTATAGCTAAAAGGCAAATAAAGTGGAAGCCAACCAGCAAATTAGTCTGATTCCTTGCAAGGCTCCATAGACATTAACATTCAAATATTGTGATAAAATAAGAGCAAAAGGATGTCAAATAAGGAAGTCACAAATGAAGATTTACTATTCACCAATCAACTTTACACTGAATATTGATTTTTGAGCTTCTGTTACACATCTCAATTCAATTAACTTCCGCCCCATCAGATGTCATGAAATAGAAAACACATTAAATGAATGTGCATTTTTATGAAAGTATTTGCACATTTCTGTCCATTTAACAGTGAGGTGTGCGGTGCTGGAGAAGTAGGAGCCGGAGGAAATGTCTGTTTATGTTTCCTATTCTACGGTAGGATTTGCAGGAACTTTGGGCCTGCGTATGGCTCATTGTTGTAACTTCCCCATGCAGGCAGCTCAGATAAATATGAGTTTGTGTTGAGGTCATGCCAGTTTTTGATTAAACAATACAACCCGCTTTGTGTTATTCAGCTATGACTGAAGGGAGGCAGAGCTATAGGGCAAGATGACCTCTCAATCAAAAGCTAGTACACATGAGACAGGGCCACTCCTGAAATACTATATCTATAGCAGATAGTGAGAAGGTCTTGGTGGTTGTGTGACACATACAACTGTCAGTGTTTTTTGTTTCTGTCACATTAAGAAAATATAGTCTTTTCATATGTTCCAGCTCTCTGCCTTTAGCTGAGAGAGCAGCCAAGTGTCAATTCAGAGAGATGTGGCCACAAGAGGAGTGGTGTGACACCTTGTGGCCGTAAAGTGCCACTCAGCACTTCTGGGGCTAAAGTCAGCAGAGTCCCAATCAATAGCCCACAGGGGCTTAATGGTGTAGAATGGAGGCATTATTGATTGGCCACGTTGACACAGGCAAATGTTACAAGGCATATTGTCTGTTCTTTCTTACCAACCGCACTGAGCCACTCTGAATACACATAAGTATGCTGTGGGTGCTCGCAGAGATGGCTCTTCTCCTCATTAGCTCTGACACGGCCAGCATGGTTATGTTCTAGCAAAGCTCAGTCAGGAAAATGTCTTGGACTGCAAGTTGGAGTCTGGAAAAAGGATTAGAAGAGAATCATAATGCAAAGGCCTCCTGTAATAGTTTCACTGCGAGTTCAAGTAGAACATTCATGCTCCAGCAAACAAACAGTTTTTGAAAAATGTGTCCATCATAAAATGTCTGTGGTTAAAGAAGCACGGGAATAGGATGCAGGAACATAGATGTACTGCTTTGTACACCTGGCATAGTTTAGATACTGTCTTTACTGTTTAGGTAGGTTACTGGATGCATAATGTTGCACAGTGGTGTAATTTGACCTGGATAAAGGACTGTGTCACCACTCTGCCAGGCAAACAAGGCTTCAGGGAGTCTGGACTCTCTCTGAGGACATGTGTGCCTGAAATACAAACATGTATATGTTCGCTTTTTCCATTAAACCTGGGCAAATACCAAGGATTTACAACAGATCATGCAAATCCTGTGCATGCTGCCTGCATTAATTATTACTACGGATGTAAAAAAAAATAAATTCATATTCTGTGACTGACCTGCATATTACCGAAAGCAGGGGTCAACAACCTTCAACTATCAAGAGCCATTTTGCCCCCTTTGCCACTCATTTAAATATGTCTGGAGCCACAAAACATATTTGATAACACAGCTCTAATTGTAAGTTTTATATATAGTTCTAAACAAACAATAGTGTGTTGCATCTGTGAACTTATAGATCGACAATAAAGAAAACATTTGAATGTCTATGTGTATTTTTACCTGTTAGAAAATAATAAGCAGCAAATGCTGTGTGCTTGTTCTGGAATGTCTTCCACAATTCTATTTTTACTGGTTTGCTAATTTCTCACAATTTCTCAAGGATAAAGGTAAGCCTACTAGGTAAGTAACTCTCTATTTCATTTGTGATTTTTCTTTTTTGGATTTATCCTTTGTTAGTTTGCAAAGGCCGGGAAATAGACGTAGTACGATGTAAGGCATATATTAGCTGATGAAATATAAAACCTCTTTTTATTTCATTGTCACAATATCATCTCAAAATCCAAGATAACAAATGTTCTTTTCCTAAAATTGCCCTCGTTGCAAAAAAAAAAAGGACTTATTTATTTCAATGTTATTTTTTGTCAAAGCTACTGGGAGCCTGCAGAGCCGCGGGTTGCCTCTCCATGACCTAAAGTATTAAGTTGCCCAAATGTATTATTGGTCTTTTAAGCTTAGTTAACTTCTTGGTGTACACAGGTAAGTGTTATTCTTTCATGCAATATTAAAATATCCCAGAGTAAGATGCTGAATCTTTTTTCATTGCTGCTGTTTGGTCCCCAATAATTTGGTTCATGACCCCCATTAAATACGTAGTATGTAGTATTATGTCCTGGCATTCTCAAAAGGTCAAACACAATATGCAGTTGCCTTCTGAGATTGCTTCATTTTTAGTAGTATTTAGAGGCGTGCAGAAGGTAACAGAACAGTAGGCATACTAATATATGGGAACAGAACACTACACCCAATTGCTGGCAGATGCAGCACAATATGTTGAATAGCCAGCCATGAGATTGAGTGTAATTCACCTACTGTACCGTTAACTGTATTTATGCAAACATAAATGCTTTTTAAAATATCAAGAGTGTAATTACCATGTGAGGCATCTTTCCCCCTCACATTTTGTTATAAAACAGCACACGATGAAAGTAATAAAGGTTATTGCAGGCATTAAGTGAAATTAATTTAAATGTGTTTGGGATATATTTCATATAGGTCCATTTAAAACGAGAGGATTAGATATTTGTCTGTGTCCTAAAAAGTCGAAGCTAAAATGATCTAAAAGCCTGCTCTAGTAAAGAATACACACTGCCACCTGCTGTTCTATTGGGACTGAATACAGTCAGTTCCCAGGTTTGCAGATATATGCCTCTAAAATGTGTACCAGCCTTTTAATGAGGAGCTTTGAAAATGTAACTTAAAAAACAAGCATGCAATAAAGCCTCCAGAAACAAGCAGGGAAAGAAAGAATACAACAATATTATACTCAAGAAAAGTAGTCCTTCTTGTGTAAAAAGGAGATAAAAAAGGGAAAAAGTAGATAAGTTATACAAACCTCTTCTTCTTTATAGTCTTACATTAATTAACCAGAAAAGAGGACACAATGCAGACAAATTAAACAGAAATGAGAGACATTATAGAAAAAAGGACTATGGAAAATGCATTGGAAATATTAAGCCACATCAATTAAATAACCTTAGACTTTATATATAGCAACAGCAGTAGAAGAAAACATTACGAATGCAACAACAAATAAAAAGTTTTACTGCTAAATGAGGACTTTTACATGTACATGTAATGGAGTGTTTTTACATTGCTATATTAGCACTTTTACTCGACTAAATTAGTACTTTTGCGACCACTGAAAGAGAAACCCTCCTTACAATCCAAGATAACAATGTATCTTGGCCTTGAGGTAGTTTGGTCAAACCAATCGGAAGGTGGTTCGATCCCAGCCCCTGCAGTCAAAATGCTGATGTATCCATGGGCAAGATACTTAACCCCAAGTTGCTCCCAATAGCCATCATCTGCGTGTGAATGTTAGTTTCCCCAAGAAAATGGCACCTTTTATGGCCCGATGTAAATTAGCTACAAATGCAGTCAATCACAAGCCACCGTATATAACAAATAGTTTAATCGTTTTCTGGTCTGGTGTATTGTAGATTTATTGTGGTTTCCTACAATGTGTTTCCTTTATAGGGCTTTCTTGTGCCACTTGCAAATGTAATATAGTGTAAGTATAGTCTTTGTCCAGAAGGTGGCAGTGTCGCTCTGCAGAGGAGAAAACATGACTCAAAAGTGCTGACCTGTCCTGGCACGTGGTGGCCTGTTATTTAATCATCTCATTCACAAAAAAACAATAACTCATCAGTAATGCTTACAAGGAACATCAAATAAATGCAATGCGATGAGAACCATAAAGACAGCCCAGTCAACTTTAACTACTTAATTTGATGGACTATTTTATCTATATACTCTGCAATTATTGGATCTCCATTAAGAGGTCATGCTGGCACTAAATCAAGAGGCATAATGTGCAGAACATTAATGCTGCTTTCCCAACAGTGATGATGAGTAATAGGTTGTTAGTCAGTAATCATTATATGAAAATATAGACACAATACATTTGCAAGCAATGAGGAAGAAACTCTGACTATTAAAGCTATACTTAAAAGCATATTTTCAGCATTTTAAGAGTTCTTTGCTAGTCAAAAGGGGAGAACACTGAATCTAAATGTATTATCTCTTAATAAGAACTTAAGTAAAGCCATACAATTGAAATAGAAATCTACCCAGTATGGCAGTAACTGGTTTCAGTATGACATAACCCCCACCAGAGTTCATTGTTGAGTTGTTTGGTCAACAGAATCTACAGAAATACTACTTATTATGAAGAATCAGTTCAAGACTATGTGTCTCTCTGTCGTGTGCAACTCTTATGGGAATTAAAGAGCCTAAAAGTAGTTTAAAAAAACAGAATATAAATAAAGTAGCATCCATGTGGTCCCAATGGGCTCTGCTGAGCACAAAATACCACCTTAATGTTACAGTTTATAGCAATATCACCTGATGTTTAACCTGGAGGTCAAACATAAAGTGTGTTAAAGTCACATTGTTATAGGCTATTTTTAGATCCAATATTTCAAGGGACTCTTTATTCTGTGCTTTCAATTTTATATTTATTTAAATCTGATGTTTCAAATGTAACGTTCCTATATCCAATATAGACTTTTAGGGATAGA